TTTTTTTTTTTTTTTTTTGGTCACGCTGCCCAGCTTTCAGGATCTCATATCCCTGACCAGGGATTGAACCCAATCCAGGCAGTGAAAGTGCCCAATCCTAACCACTGGACCACCAGGGAACTGGGAGACTTACTTTTAACTAGTCTGTGTAAATTTTATCATGTTCATGTATATGTAAAAACCAATACATCAACAGAATGGATAAATCTCACAAACATAATGTTGAATGAGAAAAGTCAGGTGCCAGAGAATATATACTGTGTGATCCCATTTGCATAAAGGTAAAAACAGGCAAAACCAGTATGTGGGTTAGAAGTCAGGACAGTGGTTACTCTTGGGACAGGGGGGGAGTGACTTGAAAAGAAGGCTGGGGGGTCCTTCTGGGGTGCTGGTAATATTCTGTTTCTTGATCTGGGTGCTGGTTACCCAGAGGTGTTCAGTTTGTGAAAATTTGTCCAGCTGGACATTTTCCAGTATGTACACTTCAATAAAACATTTTACGATGCATCAGAAGTGTAGTGTAGAGGCTTCTTGTCCTGCCACATGGGCAGGGGCACTGTCTCTGCTGATCCAGTCCCTGAGGATGCACACATGGACCTGGAGGGGGCCTCAGGCCTCAATCTCAGTGGCAGGGATGTTTGGTCCAGGCCTGCAGTTTGTACCAAAGATGAACACTTGGGCTCTAATGGCCAAGAGCAAACCCCAGCGATGCTGTTTGACCTGGGAATGCTCAGGAGGAGTCTGGATGGAGGAGAGCAGCCAGGTCTTGATGCACCTACTCAGCTCATCAGCGTTGCCTCAGGTTTACCTTGAGGAGGACAACTTAGTGGGGAGACATGGGAAGTATTGGCTAGGCTCCTCCAACAAGGCCCTTCCAGAACCTTCTGAGTCTACTACTCCTCGTCCCTGGAAGGGGCTTATTGGCTGACGATGAGAATTCATGTCTTGAAATTTCTTTGTGGGGGAGGGGAGAGAGGGGAGAGGGGGAGGGGGACTTCCCTGGTGGTCCAGTGGTTAAGGCTCCACGCTCCCAATTCAGGAGTCCCGGGTTCGATCCCAGGTCAGGGAAATAGATCCCCTCATGCACGCTACAACTAAGACCCAGCATAGACAAGTAAATAAATTTCTTTGGGGGATATTCCATTATCAGAAATAAAAGGACTGACATGTGTGCCTCACACACATTACAGTATCCCAGCCATCCAGCCTGACCTTTGGAACACGCTACATTCTGACCCTTCCCAGTCACTGGAAAATTCAGCTCTGGGAGTAGAATAGTGACAATTGCCCCTCAAGGACACCCCTCAATGTTCCTTGGCCAGTAGCCAGAATCCCCAATCTAACAGGAACTGGGAGGCAAAAGCAAAGCAAGAGGAAAGAAGAAAAGAGTTAGACTTGGAGGAATTTGCTCATTTCCACCTTTATAAACTTGGGGAATCCCTGCGGGAGAGTGGATGCTGAGCTTGCCTCGCCAAAGAGAACAGGCCACAGTTTTGGATGGGGCTGCGCTGGAGGTAGATTGCTGGTACTCAGTGTGGCCCGCAGACTGGTGCCACTTCATGAACTGTTACTTTTATGTCCGAAATGAGTATAGAATTTGAGAGCTACATATTTAAAAACTCTTACAGTATTTGTCAGAGTACTTTTATAAACGTTGGTTATAACCAAAAAAAAAAAAAAGCGAGGTTGTTATTTATTTATTTTTTGCGGTACGCGGGCCTCTCACTGCTGGGGCCTCTCCCGTTGCGGAGCACAGGCTCCGGCCGTGCAGACTCAGTGGTCATGGCTCACGGGCCCAGCCGCTCCGCGGCATGTGGGATCTTCCCAGACCGGGGCACGAACCCGCGTCCCCTGCATAGGCAGGCGGACTCTCAACCACTGCGCCACCAGGGAAGCCTGAGCTTGTTATTTTTATAGCTTTTAGATTTCATTTTTCAAGGAACTCATTTTTATTGTATTTTATAAAAGTATCAATCTGTGATGGATTGACAATAATTAAAGCTGGTTCTTCCCTATAGATCGTTTGAGGAGCACTGGGGTAAATAACAGAGATTTTGTTCACTAACTGGAACAGGCAGCTGATTGCCTAGCTGCTAGAACAGATAGGTTTTGTTTTGCTTCGTTTTTTGTGAATAATGCAAATCTCAATTTTATGCTGGCCCATCAACTATTCCTGAAAGGCCAAATGTCTTCCGACATAATGTGCAAGTGGGAATTTAAAGACTCCAGGGGACAGAGATACTGTATGGGATCTAACAGGCATATCCCACCCATGCACTGTGTCCCTGACAGGCTCTAGAAAAGTCTCCCTTCACTAGATTATGAGGCATAAAGTATACTGCAAGTGACAGGATTTTTATAAAGCTCTTCATTAGCTAGGCATTCTATGCCAAATATGTTGATAAAGGCACTGAAATTGAAATGGGCTCCTTGATCTTGGGAAGCAGGGTTGGGCTGACCCTGAGTGAAAACAGCACTGTACCTCCAGTGGCACATGCCTATTTCTACCACCACACTCCCGATCTGCTTTAACTGTAGGGGCTGGAAGAGATACATTTACCAGCCTCCTTTGCAGTACTCATGTGACACAGTTCTAGGCAAGGAGATATCTACTGGGAACTTTTTTTGGGGGGGGCTGCTCCTTGGGGCTTGTGGGGATCTTACTTCCCTGACCAGGGGTCAGACAGGGTCCCATGACAGTGAAAGCACCGAGTCCTAACCACTGGGCCACCAGGGAATTCCCATATTGGGAACTTTTAGAAAGGCTTCTGATTTTCCTGATAAAAGAGACAGAGACTGTTGGAATCCATCTTGCAATGGGAAAATGTTAAGAGAATCACGGAGAGGCCATTCCAGACCTCTAACATTGTTCAGTTCCTGAGCCAACTATCTACTGTCTGATTTCTTGTTATGTAAGAGAAAATAGATGTCTATTGTTTATGCCAGTGTTAACTGAGTTTCCTGTTACTTGCAGCCAAAAGCATTGTGAACTGATCTAGAAACCCATTAGGACTTATTTCATTTACATCAGGGTGAATCATATGAAATTGGTATTTTCTGTAGGTCAGAATGATTGACTGTCAGTAGTTTTGCATCATTCAACCCAAATGACTACAAACATTCTAGGTCTGTAGATGTGTGTCAGTTAGTATGCTTTTAACAGCAAATAACAGAACTCTTAACTCAATGCATTAGAGAAGGAAACCTGTTGGGTCATGGAAGGAAATGGCTGAAATAGGCATCCAGACGTTCAACATTGTCATCAAGTTCTCGGGTTCTTCCCAGACCTCTCTTCTGCCTTCTACAATGTCAGCTTCATACTCAGCCTGCTCCCTGCAGGAGCACTCCCACCAGCAATGCAGGCTATGTGCTTTCTTGCCCAGTTCCAGCAGGAGAAAAGGAGCTTCTGTCCAGCATTCTGGGCAAGAATCCTAAAATTCCCACTAACTGACTCACTAAGGTCACATGCTTATCCCTGAACCAGTGACCACGATCCCAGAATAAAGGGTGTTGACTGGTGTAAATCAGACAGGGTCTACTCCTGGACCTGGGATGGGGTCAGCTTCCCTCTCAGACCCACAAAACTCTTGTTGCTTTCAGGAAGTGGGAATCGCTGGGAGAATGGATGCTGGCTAGATAACCACAAAGTCCTCTACAACGTGTCTCCATCAAGTTAGCGATTTGGGGTTGGCAGCAACAGAAACCAACAACACAGAATGGGGAGACAGGTGGTTCCCTAAAGTGAAGTTAGAGTCTTATTATTAGAAGAATGATGAAGGGTGCTGGACAGGCAGTATTTACAAATATCCACTAGTTATTTCATAGAAGGTCCCAAAATCTATTTATTTAACCCAATAATGAAATTTGGAGTCGGAAAGAGCAGAGAAGGGAGTGCGGCAAGAAGGAGAAAAGTGAGAGTGGGTCCAAGCAATTTGGCCTCGGTCGGGGGACCTGCAGAGAAAGGTCCTCTGGTAGAAAATTCTTATTAGTAATATGAGTAAAAGACTCAAAGAACAAAATAATAATGACATAAGAATAAACGCACACGGACTCCCCTGGTGGTTAAGGCAGTGGTTAAGCATCTGCCTGCCAATGAAGAGGACACAGGTTCGAGCCCTGGCCGGGGAAGATCCCACGTGCTCCGGAGCAACTAAGTCCATGTGCCATAACTACTGAGCCTGCGCTCTAGAGCCCACGAGTCACAACTACTGAAGCTGGTGCCTAGAGCCTGTGCTTCTCAACGAGAGACGCCACCACAATGAGAAGGCTGCGCATCAGAAAGACCCGATGCAGCCAAAAAAACACCCCCCCACACAACATTGTAAATCAACTGTATTTCAATAAGGTATTTAAAACTTAAAAAAAAAAAAGAATAGGGCTTCCCTGGTGGCGCAGTGGTGATACAGAGGACACGGGTTCGTGCCCCCGTCCGGGAAGATCCCACATGCCGCGGAACAGCTAGACCCGTGAGCCATGGCCGCTGAGCTTGCGCAACGGGAGAGGCCACAACAGTGAGAGGCCGGCGTACCGAAAAAAAAATTAAAAAAAAAAGAATAAACAGACGTGCAAACGAACAAGCAATAAAACTTGAATAGAGAATCTGACTTAGTATATCAAAGGTAGCATTTAAATTCCCTTGGGAATGGTGCAGCTTGTTTAACAAATGATGCTGGCATAACTGGCTCTCTGACAAAAAACAAAGTTAAACCCTAGTTCATACATATACACAAGGATAAATTCCAGATATATCGATGACTTAAATTTTAAAAACAAAACAAAACAACAAAAAAAACCCATGAGACTATTTCGGGGGTCGAGGGAAACTTTCCTAAGCCTGAACCCGAGCTGCTCCGGCGCTCGCATTCCACCTTTTCCATTGGGCCCCTAGGGCTACGTAATGGGACACCCATCCAATGAGGACTGGGCATGGGCGGCGCGCTCAGCCAATGGGGCCAGGGCGGGAGATTTGAAAGGACCTCTGCGTGGGCGCGGTCGGGAAGGTTCAGTTGTTTCCCAGCCGCCAGGGAGGTGGCTGTGCTGCCGGCTCCAGGTGAGCTGTCCTCCTTTCGGGGGCCTTGCGCCGGGAGAGGCCAGGTGATCCGGCAGGTCGGGGGGTCCGTTGGGCGGGCCCGCGCGCACTCTGCCGGGCTGCTGGTTGCTCTAAAGTGGAGAGAGGGTCCTGGAAAGGGGTGAGGCCGGTAGCAGGGCTGGGGCAGCGAGGCGAGCTCCGGGATGCGCCTTGATGAGGCCAGCTTGTAAACCTGCTCCCTTTCACCAGCCCCAGACAAGCGCTTCCGGCTAGATCTGTCCGACCCCTCACTCTCTCTCTCCCTCTTTTCTGCTTCTCACGGCTCTGCTTCTCTTCTCTGCCCAGTTCCCTCCCCCTTCCCTTCTAAGGATGGCCCAGAAGGAGAACGCCTACCCCTGGCCCTACGGCAGGCAGACGGTAAGGGCTTTCCCACTTCCCCTCCCCCCACCCGCGTGGCGAGGTCCCGCTTGCAGATTTGAGGTCCTGCAGAGGGCTATCCTCTTACCACTTTCTTCCCGGCTTTGCACCAGTTTATGGGCCCCAGTCTGGTCATTTGTAGCCACATCGTATCAGGTGCTGCCAACTTGAGTTTGACCAGCCTGTGAGGACCTCTGCAGAGCTGAGCCTATTTGTCACATCCAGATGACATCTGGGACTGAGCAGGCAGGGTCTGGCCTTTTGGCCATGATTCCCAACCCTTGTCCTGAAAAAATAGGCTAGGCAGGAAATAGAAGTAGACTCTGGAAGGATTTAGATACGTTTATAAGTTTAAAAGGTCCAGGACAAGTCTAAATTAAAAATTTAGAATTTATTTTAATGACTGGTGTGAAGTAAGCATTCAATGGCTTTATTTTCCAGTTGTCCCAACACCTTTCACTGAAGAGTCTACCCTCTGATTTGAAATGCTACCTTTGTTACATATATTAAATTCCCACATATATGTGGATCTATTTCTGCACTCCATTTTGTTCAACTTGCTTATTTGTAAATTCCATGCTAATATCACTGTTTGCAAACAGGTCTGTAGGGGCACTGAGGCTTTCTTCCTCTCTTGGCTAAAGAAGAAAGAAGGGGCCCTGCATGGGCTTTGCTCTCTGTTTGCGGGGCTCGAGTATCCTGCGGGGGGGTCTGTATGTCCCCTTGTCCACCAGCTGCCTCCCTGGTGAAGCTCTGAATGAGGCTGTCAATAGTGGAGGCTGAATGAGAAAACATTGTCATGCCCACACTGGTCACTCCTAAAAGAAAGGGGTGTATATTACTCAGAAGTTGAAAGTGAAAAGTGGTCCAGGGCTGTTAGAGTAGCCCTCAGTGTCCTAAAGCCTGCTGTGGCAAAGGGGTAAATACTGAGATTTGCTGAACACTCAAGGCCACAAGGACCTTATCTGAGACTTAACAGACTGAGCTTAGGGGACCATGAGAATACCGCTGTGCTAAAGCTCCTTGAATTTTGTGTGTTCATTACCCCAGCCTGTACTGCCCCCTGAGGTGGGGGGCTGGGTAAATGAGTGGTGTTATGGACAAGACTTTGAAGGTTGGACAGCCTTGGGCCTGAGAATGTGGAGTGGGCCAGGGCCAAAGAGGTGAGAGGTTAGGTGTGAGGGTAAGTCCCTATCTTAGGCTGACTTAGGTTGTTTATTAATAGCTCATTTTATATGGGGCTCTGAGCAGAGTCCTGGGGCTGAGTAGCAAAATTGTGGTCTCAGTGTTCCTCTTTGAACTGGGGATTGGGTAGGTGGGTGGGCGGCTTTATAGCAAGCCCTGAAATGCTGCTTGTAGCACATTCCAACCCAGTCACTGGGATAAAGGCACTCTCAGAGCTCCCCCCTGGTCCTTCTCAGGCTCAGTCTGGCCTGAACACCCTGCCCCAGAGAGTCCTCCGGAAGGAGCCTGTCACCCCATCTGCACTTGTCCTCATGAGCCGCTCCAATGCCCAGCCCACAGGTAACTAGGACAAGGGGAGGGCATCGACCTGAGGGGACTAGGGTCTGGGAAATGTGGACGGGGATGAAAATGTCAAAGGATGGCCTCAATTTCCCTCTTCTTTCCTTAGCTGCCCCTCTCCAGAAGGTGGTGGAGAACAACAGTGGGACCCCCAACTTCTCAATGTAAGTGCCCCAAGCCTTGGGGCGGCAAGAGAGGGGGAGGGACAGCGAACAGGTAGGAAATGGGGGAGGTAGAAGGTAAGGGCAGGAGGAATAGGGAGGCAAGAAAGCCTGATCCATCCTCAGCTCCCCTGGAAGAGAAACGGGGCTGCGGGCAGGATGGGCTGAGGTGCAGGGAGAAGGCAAACGCCTCAGAGGACCGACTAACCGGTACTCAGCTGCCTACCACCCCCCACCCCCCCTCCAGCAGGCGTTCCTTCACAATCGACGACTTTGAGATTGGGCGTCCTCTGGGCAAAGGCAAGTTTGGAAATGTGTACTTGGCTCGGGAGAAGAAAAGCCGTTTCATCGTGGCGCTCAAAGTCCTCTTCAAGTCTCAGATAGAGAAGGAGGGTGTGGAGCACCAGCTGCGCAGGGAGATCGAAATCCAGGCCCATCTGCAGTACGCGGCAGGGCCCTTCGAGCCACAGTACCCCTGGCGCCTCAACCCCCCGCTCCTCTTCCAATCCCACCACATCCAGACTGTCTTCTCTGCAGCTGTGGTCAGGCAGCCCCAAGGAGCTCTCAGTCCTGGCCAGAGCCTTGAACCCAGAGAGCTGCGTCCAGTTCCCCCTTAGCACCGCCAGCCTGGTGTCCCCTGCCTGGCCCAAGCCTGACCCAGTTTGCTGCAGTGGGACCTGTCATCTTTCCCATTTCCTTATGCCAGGATACAACCTGATGCTTCCTCTGTCTCCTCTCCCAGGCATCCCAACATCTTGCGTCTCTACAACTATTTCTATGACCGGCGAAGGATCTACTTGATTCTGGAGTATGCCCCCCGGGGGGAGCTCTACAAGGAGCTGCAGAAGAGCCACACTTTTGACGAGCAGCGAACAGCCACGGTCGGGGCGGGTGGGCACCTGGGGCACCGGCCGGGGGCTGGAGGCTGGGGGGACGCTGCTTGCAGCCGAAGTCTATCCTTGTCTGACTGCCTGTCATTGGCCCCCCAGATTATGGAGGAGCTGGCGGATGCTCTGATATACTGCCACGGGAAGAAAGTGATTCACAGAGACATAAAGCCAGAGAATCTGCTCTTGGGGCTCCAGGGAGAGCTGAAGATTGCTGACTTCGGCTGGTCTGTACACGCCCCCTCTCTGAGGTATGGTGGGCCAGGAGGCCGGCCCTGGGGGTGAGGCTGGGGCATTCAAAGTAAAACCACTCCAGATCTTGTTACCCAGAGACATTTTGGGTGGTTCTTATGTAAATATACAGACACAGCAATATCTTTACAAAAATAGGAGACTCTCTGGGAATTCCCTGGTGGTCCAATGGTTAGGACTCCACGCTGTCACTGTTTTGGCCCGGGGTTCAATCCCTGGTTGGGGAACTAAGATCCTGCCAGCCACACGGTGTGGCCAAAAAGAAAAAACCAAAAATAGGAGACTCAGTTTTGCCACCCAGGTTTCTCACTTGAAATATATTGGGACCTTCTTGCCATATCACTGAGAATACGCCCACATCATTTTTAATGCCTTCATAATATTGCATAGTAGAGATGTAACCTGATTAATGTAAGCAGGATGTGCTTGATGGACATTTGAGATTTTTCCTTTAATTCTAAGGTGAACATTGCCCTCGTATCTGATTATTTTAACATACAGCCCTCAGTGTGGAAACGCAGAGGCAGTGTGTAAGCCCACCTCTGGGGCTTTAGTGTATGTCTTCGCCCCACTCCTACCCCAAAGGCTCTGTCAGAGCCTGGTTGGAACACTCCCCTGGCACATCCTGGGGTCTCTGGGCTCCCTGTCAAGCTTCAGGGAAAGGAGAGAAGGTCTGGATCTGGGATCCCTGCCCACTCACCCCCCCTCCAGGAGGAAGACAATGTGTGGCACCCTGGACTACCTGCCCCCAGAGATGATTGAGGGGCGCACGCACAACGAGAAGGTGGATCTGTGGTGCATCGGAGTGCTCTGCTACGAGCTGCTTGTGGGAAACCCCCCCTTCGAGAGTGCTTCCCACAACGAGACGTATCGGCGCATCGTCAAGGTGGGAGGCTAGTCCCGGGTGCGTGGCTGGGGTCTGTGCTGGCCCAGGGACCAGGGGCAGGGAGTGGGCATATCGTAGTTGTGGGGCTTACGTCTCTCGCCAAATAAAATGGGCAGTGAAGGGAAAGCAGCCAGGGTGAAAGCTGGGGTCCTCCTTCTCCTTTACCTCTGCAGGTGGACCTGAAGATCCCCCCTTCCATGCCTGCAGGAGCCCAGGACCTTATCTCCAAGCTGCTCAAGCATAACCCCTCAGAACGCCTGCCACTGGCTCAGGTCTCAGCCCACCCTTGGGTCCGGGCCCACTCCCGGAGGGTGCTGCCCCCCTCTGCCCTTCAGTCTGTCCCCTGAACTGTCCCTGTCATTTTCTCCGTTGTGTCTGTATGTCTGTATATGTGTAGTTAGGAGAAGGGGTCCCTGGCCTGTTCCCGCATCTGTCTTCTACCTCCTCTTTATCTAATAAAGGCTGAAGCTTTTTGTACTAATGAGTGTAGATGTTTACAGGCGGAAATTGCTGTGAAGGAAGCTGTCACCTGTGGGGAGGAGGCTGGGGAGTTGCCCATGCAGGGTGCCAGGACTGGCATTGCATCACTGCCCCTGGGAGCACCCTGCCCTCTCAGCTCTAACCCCCACCTGGTCAGCTCCACCCCACCCCCAAGTCTTTTCTTTCCCCTGCTCTGACTCCCAGACCTGGGGATGCTGGGGACTCAGCTCCACTCTGCTACGCCTGCACACCAGCCATCTCTGCCCACCTTCTCTTACTACTTGCTCTTAGCTGACGTCTATTCTTTCCCTCTTCTGGTTCACTCCTGCCGACCCAGGAGCAATTGAACATTGTTGTACCCAGAAGTTGTTTGTTTTTCCGCTTTGATGAGGATCTAGCACAGGAGTGAATAGAAGCAGTCATCTTGTTCCTAACCTAAGGTTTAAGGTTTCACTGCTAGATACATGATGCTTGCTGTAGATTTTTAATACATGTCCTTTATCAGGTTGAGGAAGGCCTGGTCACTTCCTAGTTTGCTAAGGGTTTGGGCGTTTGTTTTGGGGTCAGCCGCAACAGCATGCGGGATCTTAGTTCCACGACCAGGGATCGAACCCGCGCCCCCTGCAGTGGAAGCGTGGAGTCTGTTGGGGTTTCTCTGAATCAAAAATAGGTGTTGACTTTCACCTCATGCTTTTTCTGCATCTGTTGATTATTTGCTCTTTTAAGCCATGTGGTGAAGAACATCAATAAATGTTTTTATTTTCATCTCAGTTACTCATGCTATATTCAATTCCTAGGGTTGCTGTAACAAATTACTACAAACTCGGTGGTTTAAAACAGCAGAAATGTATTCTCTGACAGTTTTGGAGGTCAGGAGTCCACAATCAAGTTGTCTGCAATGCCATGCTCCCCTCAAAGGCTCTAGGGGAAAGTCCTCCCTTGCCTCTTCCAGCTTCAGGTGACTCTGGGCACTTCGTGGCTTGTGGCTGCATCTCTCCAATCTCTTGCTTGTGTCTTCACACAGCCTTCCTGTCTTCTCTCTTTTCTCCTCTGTGTCTTATAAGAACACTGGTCATTTGATTTATGGCTCACCCAGATAATCCAGGATAATATTGTCTCACGATCCTTAATTACATCTGCAAAGACCCTTTTTTCCAAAAAACATCGCATTCATAGGTTCCAGAGGTTAAGACACAGACATATCTTTTTTGGGCCTACCATGCAACCCACTACATATGCCCAGAGATTAAAACAACTGAACGATGTTATAAGGCTTAAAAAAAACCCAAAAAAACCCTAGAGTCTGCCTATTTCTCTCTCCCCACAGACAGCCTATTCCAAATCCTTTTATGGGTTTGTTTTGTTTTTGGTATTTACCGTGTATTTCCAAATCACAGGATTCTGTTGCTACTTCTTAAGTTTTCAGTTTTAGGCTCTATCTATTGTTTTCCTGCTACAAAATGTACAGGTTTCATTCTTTCACTCCACTGCCACCATACACATGTGCATTTTCTGTCCCTACATCCTTCTGATGTAGTTATATCAAAATTTTGCTTAGATTTATTCGTTTGACAATAGTTACTGAGTGCTTTCCACAGTCCAGGCACTGTTCTAGAGGCAGGGGAGTGAATAAATAGGAAAGAAAAAAAGAAAATCCTCTGAGCTCAGGAAGGTTGCAAATCTAGAGGATCAATGTCAGTATCCAGTGTGTATGTTATGACCATGAGATGCCAGCCAAGCTGTCTCATGACATTCTATACGTTTCTTTTGGAATAGATGCCCCTGAAGTCAATAGCCTGTGTCATTTTCTTAGCCCCTCTGAACAGATCACACCTCCAAATTCTCCCCCAGCCTGAGCACTTAAAGTTGTCAACATTCATCAATTGGGCCTTCATTGCATCATATGGGCCTGAGATGGAGTATGAAAGGTAAAAAAAAGCCCATTCTTAGCTCATAGGCCATATAAAAACGGGTGGAGAGCTGGATTTAGCCCACAGGCCATATTTTGCTGACCCCTAATGTAGTGGACACTGTTTTGCTCCCCCATAGCCCCTCCTCCATCCTCCATTGTGTTGCTGCTACTTCAGTTTGGAGGGAACTGACCCACCTCTAGCTCCAGGAGGGGCATAATTGTTCTAACCTAATCAGTCAATTCTTCAATCACCTTGCCAGAGTGATTGCTTCCAAATACCAAATCCTAAGTCAATAAGACATGGTATCACCCTGACCAAAGTGACTAAATTGGGCATGTGAACCAGTTTAGGCCAAGGAGATGTGACGAGAGATTAACTGGGGCTCCTGGGAAAGATGCATCGGAAGCTAGTCCTTCCTCCCCTTCTGGAAGTTATGGGAGTATATCAGCCAGGGCTTCTGGTTGCATGCAACAGAAAACAATTCAGGTTCATTTAAGCTGAAACAGACCTTATTATGAGCATCCTGGGTAATTCATGGAATCTCTAAAAGGACTAGGCTTGGAGTCTACACAGTCAGGAAAAATTCCACTGCAGAAGTGGTCCAGTAGACCATGGTGGAGCCTGAGCCATGTGCTAAGGAATCTGGGAAAGTGACTGCTTGGTATTCCAGCTTTTGTAGTGGGAGATGGGCTCTGCCTAATGAGGTGGGAGAGTCCTCAAACACTGGGATTCAGATCCTGGGAGGCCCAAGAGAATGACAAATGATCGCAGTTATGGACTGAATATTTCTGTCTCTCCAAAAATTCATATTTGAAGTTGAAGCCCTAACTCCCAATGTGATGGTATTTGGAGATGGGACCTTTGGAGGTAATTAAATTTAGATGAGGTCATGAGGGTGGGGTCCTCATGATGGGATTGGTGTCTTTATAAGAAAAGGCCAGAAAGCTAGCTCTCTCTCTCCATCATATAAGGAGACAAGAAGGTGGCCGTCTGCTAGCCAGGAAGAGAGACCTCACCAGGAGCAGAATCAGCTGTCACCTTGGACTTACAGCCTCCAGAACTGGGAGAAAAAAAAAAAGATTCTGTTAAGACACCCAGTTTATGATATTTTGTTATAGCAGTTCAAGCAGACAACTATAATTCCCAAAGAATGACAAATGACATAGTGCCACCATGAGGAAGCCCACTTGGGATAAAGCTACTCCCTTGGAAAGAAACCAGGCCCTTTACGACAGTGTTAGGGCACTGAATGCAGGCTTCTCTGACACCTTAAGACCATTATTGTATGACAATAAATTCCCCTTGTTTTTGTTTGTTTGCTTTTGTTGATTCAACTTGTGTTTTCTGTCACCTGCAGAATACAGAGCTTCTGCTTGCTGAGGAGTAAAAGGAAGACAAGGGGGGGGGTGTGTCATTCCCAAAGAGAGGGGGAGAAGATTACAGTAGACCACTGGTCTCATGCTGTATTAGTCAGGGCTCTGGGTGCAAGTGACAGAAACACATCTTGAATGAGTTCCAGCCAAAAAGGGAAAATTAATGGCCTAGGGTCATTTAATTAATAAATATTTACTGAGCACCTACTATACGCTAGGTACTGTTCTAAGCACTGGGGCTATAAATGAGAACAAAACCGACAGAAAGTCTTACCCTCATGGCACTTACATGAGCAAGTAAGCAAAATGTATAGTATGTCAGATGGTGATAAGTGCTCCGGAGAAGAGGTAGAGAAGGAAGATGGGGAATTGCTGGAGAAAGTGGTTGAAATTTTAAACAGACTGTAAAGGGAGGCCTCACTGAAAAGATAACATTTGAATAAGGACCTGAAGGAGAGAAGGGAAGGAGGAATATCCAAGGTGAAAATTTTTCTTGGTAGACCCAGCCTCAAAAAAAGGGGAGGGCGGGAGGGGAGTAGCAAGAGCAAGTGTAAAGCCCTGAGGGGGCAGCATGTCCGTCTTGTCACAGGAGCTGTGAGGAGGCCAGGGTGGCTACAGCAGGACCAGTGAGGGGAAGAGAAGGAAGAGATGAGATCAGAATGGTTACCAGGGCTCTGAACTTCAGGGCCATTAATTTATTGAATATTTTACGTAGTGGCAGAATCACATACCATCCTCCAAGAGGAGAGAGACTCAGACCTGGAGGGGACAGGAGACAGAGAACAGAGTGCCAAATACACAGGAAAGCCCTTAAGCCCGCTTCGCTGTCCACTGTGAGTCGTTCTGGGCAATTCATCTGCTCGGTCTGTTAGCCGAGGACGATGGAACGAACCATTCAAGCTCTGCTGAGAATTCTGGTTTCATCCTTCCTGATCAAATAGTTGCGGTTGAATCCCGACGGTCCAAGCAGGATATACTACTTCCATCCCAAAAATCTCCTAGGAACCCCAATTCTGGCCCGCACTGTAAGTGTTTGTTAAGCAGCAATTGTGGGCGTGACAATTGTGGGCGGAAAGAGCCCTAGCCCCGCCCCCGGAGGACTCCGTTATTTCAGGATCTTCACCTTTAAGATCTGCCCCCTCAACTTTTTGAAAGGGCGGGGCGACGAGCGCAGCTGTCACCTCCTTCTTTCCACCCCGCTGGTTCTCACGTGCGTTCAGTCGTTCAATAACAGCTCCTCTCCTGGGACTTCCTGGTTGCCGGGACCAATTAGAGTGTTCTTCCCGTCCTGACCATTGTGAGCCCAAGGCCAATCGGCGCGCCTCTACAACGCCCCTTAAAGGCACCGCCAACGCCTCCTGAGCCGGGGCGAACCAATTCCTTGGCTCCTGCCCCCAACTGCAGTATGGAGTCGCCCCGGGGGCGGCCTGGGCCCAAAGCAGGCCTTCTAGCTCTGGGGGAACAGCAAGCCGCGATCTTCGGCGGCGGCCCGGGCCGAACGGCCTCTGAGCCGCCCTCAGGCCTCCGGTTGTCCGAGGAGGAAGAGGCCGAGAACGTTGGGGGCGCGAGCCGCCTCCCTAGGGCGTCCCCGAAGACTTCGAGCTGCAGCTTCGTCCACCCGCCGGACTGGGAGGCTCCGGAGGAAGAGCCGGGCCGCGGAGGGACGCCTTCTGGGGCAGGGAGCAACCGGGGGGCGCCGGGTCCCGAAAACGACCCGTATGCGCCCTCCCGGCGCAAGGACCCTGAGGACAGGCCTGCATCGGAGGGCGTCTGCCGTCGAGGGAGCCCTGGAGGCGGCGGGTTGGATGTTGAGCAGGAGAAGGAAGACGACGACGAGGCGGCGGCAGCCAGCAGGGCTGGCCGTTCCTTCTCCAGCCGCCTTCAGGACAGCCGCAGCCTGGACGGGTTGAGCGGGGCGTGCGGCGGCGCCGGGTCCTCAGGGGGTGCAGAGTGTGGCGCGGGCGGCGGGCGGCGCGCCACTATATCCAGCCCCCTGGAGCTCGAGGGCACGGTGAGCCGCCACGGCGACCTCACCCACTTTGTCGCCAACAACCTGCAACTCAAGATCCGCCTGAGCGGCGCCCCTCAACCCCCGCCCCCTGCCCCTGCGCGGCCCTGTTCGGCGCCCCCACCCACTCCGGCCATTCCTCCCATCGACCCCGACGTGCTGCGGGACCTGGAGAGGCTGAGTCGGGAGCTGGGCGGCAGGGTGGACCGTCTGCTTCGCGGGCTGGGTGGTGCGGTGCAGGAGCTGACAGCGCTGAGCGTGGGCTGCATCCAGACCTACCGTGATGCCGTGGACTCCCTAGGCGAAGCTGTGGACATGAGCATCAAGGGCATGTACACCCTGCTGGCACGCTGTGAGGAGCTGGAGAGGGCTCTGCAGCCAGTTCAGGGACTGGCGCGCCAAGTCCGGGATATCCGACGCACCCTGGAGGTGTTGGAGGCCCTGTGCAAGTGACCGGGAGGGCAGGAGAGG